AAAGTTTTGCTTGTATCAATTTACTCAAGTTGGATAAGGCCATCCCACTGAATTTCATTAGGTAGTGCATGGAGCAAGTTTAGAAGGCAAAGAATAATTGGGAACTCTGTATTATATAACATGTAAAACATTGTTATGTGTAATATATATAAGCTACCCTTCAAGGTCAGGGAAGATCAGAGATACGCAAGTTTGAGAGAGAAAAAAATGGGTTGGTGTCTCAACCAGTGGATCAATATCCCACTCCACTTGAACCAATGGAAATCAATCCAACCTTTGTGTAAAAGGCCAGTTCTTTTAATGTGCTTTATTACATCCCTGGATTGACACTAGCAGGCAGGAGGGAGGGAGGAAATAAAACCATCTTACGAAGAGAATGTGGAAGAAAACTCGTTTTAAAAATAATCACTTTGGCCTTCTCAGAGTTTTCAGTCAAGCAATATGCTAAATTCAAGAAACAACCTGAACGTTTCAGAGCAAACCCATGCCTTTGTTTTAATTATTAAAGCCAACATGTTGTTATTCATTATGTGCATATTTATTCAGCAATTATGACATGTAGGCACAATCCTAGGTTCTGTGAGGAAGAAAAAGGAGAATCAGATACAGAATCAACCTTCAAAGAGCTTACAATGTACTAAGAGAGATGACACCACATAAAAAACAGCAATGTACAGTAGAAAATACATGCCCTAAAATAAAAAGGACCATAGACAGTGAAGAGAGTGAGATTCCATCTGAAAAGCTTGATCAAGGAAGGCTAAAATCGCTTTTATTTTCTTGTCACTTTTATGACAACGTAAAATTGATTCTCTCTCTTTAAAATCTCCTTGAATATCTCTCAGTGGAATAAATAAACCTTAGGTTCATTCTTAAGAGACTTGTTTTTGCCTCTAGTTTCAACAGGAGCCCAAGATCTAAAGATCTAGAGGTGAAAGATCTAGAATGGTGTCCAACCTCTGAGAGCAGTTCCAGGTCATTTCTGACCTTGTTCATACTTAACTAGGGATTTATTACCAAGGGTCCACACAAGGGCTACCCACTTTAATGGGTACCTTGACATGATATGCAAAAATGCTGTGTGTAGATGCCTTTGTGTTTTTTCATAGCTTTCATCAAACTGTTTCAAGCCAGGAGCTACTTTGAGGCATTCCTCAGACCTGGAGTGCAGAATCAGATCAGCCCCAGGAAGAATGCGAGCCAAGTGAGCTCTGCAAGACCTAGATCAAAATGGGACCAGGTCCTGGGGAGACATGGTTTCTCTCAACAAAGATAAAATACTTTTTTCTTGGCTTAGTATTGAGAAGATGTCCTTGGTCAGGCTTGTGCTTTCCCGTTTTCTCTGAAAGAACATATGTTTTGAAACAGTAATACCGTTCTCAGGTCATATAATATGTATGTGCTGAAATCATAATATTGTCTTCAGATGACATGACATTCAGATATACTACTGGTTCTAAATCAAAATGGTGAAAGCCATTGAATTTGAGAACATAATCTTAGTTTTTATCTAACAATGTTGGCAACCATTTTACCACTGGACTTTTTTAGAGTTCTATAAAGTGGGTGTTGATGGTACCCAAAGCAAACATTAATAATCTTCACTGGAACAGAATGAATGGGAAGGAAGGAAGCTAAACTCTTTCTGTTTGATATAATTGCAGTTTAACGTGCTTTATTACATCCCCAGATTGACGTGCATAAGGCATAAGAAACCAGTCAATTTCAGTGAACAAACCACCAAATACCTAAAACCAGCTATTTACATTGTGTGTAGTTAATCACTGCTTGCCTGAATTTTTCAAGTTCTAACCAGCTGTTTTGGCATTTTATAGACACAGTCTGAATAATTCCATCTATATTCCATCAGTCCTAAATTAACGTGACAAGTGTTTGTGTTTAGTACCATTTTCTAAAGTTGATAACTGTGTAAACAATTAGATGGTTCGCCCTCGCTTCCTAAAATACAGACATTTCCCAAGTAGACTGTCCTGAGAACAGTAGCTTCTTCATTTCCAAAGGGCATTACGGAGACCATAGAACTAAACTGGCCACCTCTTTTTTTATTTCCAGGACCCACTTTTCAATATATCACTTAAGTGATACATAAATTTATTTTAAATGGTTTACCTCCATTTAGGTGCCTATCAAAAGAAATGGAAATGTCTGTTCTACCGTTATCAAAAACTTCCTGATAGCAATATTTTTATTTAATTGAAAAGAGAGAGAGAAAAAATCGAATCATGTCACAGACAGGTGGAAGGACACCGCAGGCAGGACTGTGTTTTCCAATGGCATCCAGGAAGATAATGAGTCCATGTCTATGGAAATTGATTCATTAATATTTCATTGAGGCAGCTTCAGAGCAATTCAAGAACCAGCTACCAGGAATTCAATCAGTAAATTCAATGAATTGTTGAGCTTAAAATAGCTGGGGGGGGGGCAAAGATATACATATATTTGGCATGTGTGCATATTTATACATACTGATGTGACACGTATATGCACATGAATACAGGAATACATATTAAAACACAGCACATGTAAGAGACTGTCATTTCTAGGCTTAAACTCTGTCTCACCTGCTTATATTCTTTACTTAAGAAGAATTTCCAAATAAAACAAAAGTCACTAGATTTAATATCATTCTCCTGCTCAGTACTTGATTGCAAAGCAAGTTAACAAAAATGTTAGCCGCAACTTGTTCACTGGTAATCACATATTTATCAATAGAGCCCCTTCAATCAATTGACAACACATCAAGATGGCTACCGAGAGCCCATGCTGAGGCTGGAAAAAAAAGGGGATCAACTATTTCATGGAGGAAGGGCTAATGGTTTGGGGCAGAGCAGCCAATTTACCACGTGATACACACATTGAGAAGGGCCAGTTAGGAAAATACATTCAAATTATCACGTCGGCTAAGTAATTGGTCTTTGGGTGTCCCTAAACACCAACCTACGAATAATTTTATTTTCATTTTGGATCAATGTCTTCTAGCCCTTGTCTAACTAACCTGTATTGATGTCTTTTTAATTAAACCATGCGTGATATGCTCTCTCGGCAGTGGGGCATACTGAGTGTACATGCTAGGAATTCCAGATAAGGTAATTATGCTATTTGTCACTGTCATGATTAATGTGTGACAGCTGTTATGACAGCTGTGCCACTGTTTTGTCACAATACTCTGTTCATCCATAACAAAATTAGCTGTCGCACTCAAAGGTACACACTTGCTGCTATTTCTTTCTGAAGTCAACAATGAGAAAATCGAGAGGGAATATTACATGAACTCTGTGACAAACAAGAAAAACGACATCTTTATTTTTTTTCTTTAAATGATGATATAACCTGCCTGCATTGAAAATGCAGATAGCTCACCTCTAGCAAACAAGCTGTCACAAGGAGCCAATCCACCACTAATCTAGCTAACAAGGTCTCAGTATGTGAGGGGTTTGCTTCATAATTTGAATCTGCCTTGCCAGGCAAGCCTTTTAGATGTTACCCAAATTAGCATTGGCTGGAACTGTTACTGCCTGTCAAGGTGGGAAACTGCAAATGCAGAGTGATAATAGGAAGTGGGAGACTGACTCACCCTTTCCTTTGGGCGTCAGTCAAGTGGAGCAAAATAGGCGGCTCTGCCTCCATCTCCCTCAAGACAGTCGTCCCTCCCTCCCTCCCTCCCAAGCCCTGCACCCTTAACTGGGAAAGATGCTTTCAGGAGCTGTCTCCAAACAGAGATGTAAATTGTCAGATGAAGGCAGTTATTAATGTTAACCAATATTGTTTCTTACAGAGCCCTAAGACCGGACTATGAAACCACAGAAGACACTGATGTGAAGAGACAGATGGCTACAATAATAGCGTTGTTATTCTATAGCTTTGGGTGAAGTGGATACTGCATATGTTCCATAAATTTAAAAGAAAAAAAGCTCACGGAGATGTCTATTCATAATGTAAAAGGAACACTGTGACATCAGACATGCTGAGTGCAAAAGAAAGAAAATATGTTGGATATGCATAACTAAGTGAACATGATATTTTCTCTCTTAAAAATTAAAGGAAGAGCAGCTGTGGCTATTATTATTTTTCAATAAATGATTAGTTTGATATACTGATAATATATTTAAATTTGCCAATAACTTAACCAGCAAACATAATATACACTTTTAACAAGGAGACTGTTTAAATCAGGCCCATCTGCACTGTCTCTCTTAGGCCTCTTCAAAAACAGCCCTGGAACAGTGAATTATTTCAAACAATTACAATGATTACAAAGGAACTGTTACCACCTGCTGCTGACTCTTGGCAGCCATCAGTCAATGAAGGATTTAATTAGAATATTTATCAACGATGACCAAAACTCCTTTTGATTTGTCCCTGATTTCTTCATGTGGGAAAAGTAAATTCTTTGAAATTCAAACAATGAAAAGATGCAAAGGATTTCGGGAGTGAAAGTCCCCATGGCATATCCATCCCAGGGAGACCTTGCTGTTCATGGATTTATAAAGAACAGACTTCTCTGCAAATAAACTGGAGACCAGATTGCAGATTGGGAGGACCTGAGCTCATCTCCTCCTGCGAGCACACCCAAATCACAACTAACCACTGAACAACCACGGGTAAAAAGACGGGAATCTACTGAAAAACATATTCTACATCCAATGGCATAAAGAAGAAATCACGAGATGGTAGGAGCTCATGATACAGTCAAATCCCATACCACCCAGGTGGGCAACCCACAAACTGCAGAAAAATTATATCGCAGTTCTCCCACAGGAGTGAGAGAGACCTCCAAGCCCCACAGCAGGCTCCCCAGCCCAGGGCTTCAGCACCGGCAGGAGGAGCCCCCAGAGCATTTGGCTTTGAAGGCCAGCAGGGCTTGACTGCAGGAGCTGCACAGGAATGGGGGAAACAGAGAGGAGGGCACACAGAAGGTCCCTGTGCACCGGGTCCCAGGGCAAAAGCAGTGACTCCACAGGAGCCTGGGCCAGACCTACCTGCTGGTCTTGGAGGGTCTCCTGGAGAGGCGAGGGGGCGGGGGCGACTGTGGCTCTCTCTGGGGTCATAAAAGCTGGTGGCGGAAGCAGAGACCTGCATCAATTCTGGCTGGAGGCAGAGACAGGTATTTTGGGTCTCTGGCACCGAGACCTGTCCCACTCAACAGCCTGTAACTGGGACGCCTCAGGCCAAACAGCCAACAGAACAGGAACACAGCCTCACCCCTCAGCAGACAGGCAGCCTAAAGACTTCCTGAGTCCACAGCCATCTTTAGATACGCCCCTTGACTTGGTCCTGCCCATCAGAGGGCCAAGACCCAGCTCCACCCACCAATGAGCAGCCATCAGCGCCTCCCACCAGGAAGCCTTCACAGACCTCCAGACCAGCCTCACCCACCAGGGGGCAAATACCAGAACGAATGAAACTATGATCCTGCAGCCTGCAGAACTGACACAGGTCAGAACCTACCCTGGGACCAGCTGGTCCCTGGGCCTTGGGTGGTGAGAGGGGTGTGTACTGCTGGGACACATAGGACATCCCCTACAGAGGGCCACTTCTCCAAGGTCGAGAAACGTCTCAGCTATTACATACATAAAAATACAAATAGAAATTTAAACAAAATGAGACGGCAAAGGAATGTTACAAAGGAACAAGATAAAACCCCAGAAAAACAACTAAATGAAGTGGAGATAGCCAATCTACCTAAGAAAGAGTTCAGAGTAATGATCATAAAGATAATCCAAGAGCTCAGGAAAAGAATGGATGCACAGAGCGAGAAGTTACCAGAAGTTTTTAGCAAAGAATTAGAAAAAGATGCTAAAAAATCTGGGAGCATGCTTAAATAGATTTCAAATCAACAACTAGGCTTTAATTCAATTGCTCTGGTTGGTTTCCTGTGAGACAGGCATGTGAACCTTTGATGATTCCTTTCACTTTCACTTTCTACCTCAGAGGAAATAAAAACATTTGTTACCTTACATTATTACCAAGCATATAGCACTTAGCTACTAGATCACACAGGAGTTTTGGATGAAGGAAGTGATAGCCCCTTCCAGGTGATAAGTGTTCATGCATGAATGTTCATGTATTTATAGAGAGCACCTGTGTTAACTTCATTTCCATTCACCCTGAGAACCCCCTGTTGAAAACTACCCATCTTCAAGACCCACTTCCAATGCCATCTCTTTCACAAAGCCTTAGACGAAATTTTGTCCCCATGTGCTCTTGCCCCTCCTTTTCTTGGAACTTCCATAGCACTTGCTGCTTGTTTATTTGTTTTAGTCACCAACTGTATTTGATTTGGGAAATGATTATTTGTGTGCTTTTCTTACCCATGGGCTCCAAAGAGAGCAGGAAACACTTTTGCTGAATCTTTTAATTTCTCACAGAATCTAGGATACTATCTCACACACGGTAGGCCCTTTTGTTCATATTTATGAAGTAAATCAATTATTGCATAACAGGGGACTTTCAAGATGGTGGAGGAGTAAGACGTGGAGATCACCTTCCTTCCCACAAATACATCAAAAATACATCTACATGTGGAACAACTCCTATAGAACACCTACTGAATGCTGGCAGAAGACCTCAGACTTCCCAAAAGGCAAGAAACTCCCCACATACCTGGATAGAGCAAAAGAGAAAAGGAAAAACAGAGACCAAAGAATAGGGATGGGACCTGCACCTCTGGGAGGGAGCTGTGAAGGAGGAAAAGTTTCCATACGCTAGAAGCCCCTTCACTGACAGAGACGGTGGGTGGTGGTGGGGAAGCTTCGGAGCCACGGAGGAGAGCGCAGCAACAGGGATGCAGAGGGCAAAGCGGAGAGATTCCCACACAGAGGATGGGTGCCGACCAGCACTCACCAGCCTGAGAGGCTTGTCTGCTCACCGGGGCAGGTGGGCGCTGGGAGCTGAGGCTTGGGCTATAGAGGTCAGATCTCAGGGAGAGGACTAGGGTTGGCTGCATGAACACAGCCTGAAGGGGGCTAGTGTGCCACAGCTAGCTGGGAGGGTGTCCGGGAAAAAGTCTGGACCTGCCTAAGAGGCAAGAGGCCATTGTTTCTGGGTGCGTGAGGAGAAGGGATTCAGAGCACTGCCTAAATGAGCTCCAGAGATGGGCACGAGCCACGGCTATCAGCGCAGACCCCAGAGACGGGCATGAGATGCTAAGGCTGCTGCTGCAGCCACCAAGAAGCCTGTGTGCGAGCACAGGTCACTATCCACACCCCCCTTCCGGGGAGCCTGTGCAGCCCGCCACTGCAAGGGTCCCGGGATCCAGGGACAACTACCCTGGATGAACGCACGGGGCGCCTCAGGCTGGTGCAACGTCACGCTGGCCTCTGCCGCCGCAGGCTCGCCCCGCACTCCGTGCCCCTCCCTCCCTCCGGCCTGAGTGAGCCACAGCCCCCAACACACCTGCTCCTTTAACCCCATCCTGTTTGAGCGAAGAACAGATGCCCTCAGGCGACCTACACGCAGAGGCAGGGCCAAATCCAAAGCTGAACCCCAGGAGCTGTGCGAACAAAGAAGAGAAAGGGAAATCTCTCCCAGCAGCCTCAGGAGCAGTGGATTAAATCTCCACAATCAACTTGATGTACCCTCCATCACTGGAATACCTGAATAGACAACGAATCATCCCAAAATTGAGGAGGTGGACTTAGGGAGCAACGGTAGACTTGGGGTTTGCTTTCTGCATCTAATTTGTTTCTGGTTTTATGTTTATCTTAGTTTAGTATTTAGAGCTTATTGCCATTGGTAGACTTGTTTATTGATTTGGTTGCTCTCTTCCTTTTTTTTTAATATATATATTTTTTCCTTTTTCTCTTTTTGTATGTATGTGTATGCTTCTTTGTGTGAATTTTCTGTATAGATTTGCTTTTACCCTTTGTCCTAGGGTTCTGTCTGTCTCTGTGTGTGTGTGTGTGTAGTTTTCAGCGCCTATTATCAATGGTGGATTTGTTTTTTGGTTTGGTTGTTCTTTCTTTCTTTTTATTATTTATAATAATTTTTAAAAAATTTATACTTTAATAGCTTTATTTTATTTATTTATTCTTTCTCTCCTTTTTTTTTCTCCCTTTTCTTCTGCACCGAGTGGCTGACAGGGTCTTGGTGCTTAGGCCGGGTGTCAGGCCTGAGCTTCTGAGGTGGGAGAGCCGAGTTCAGGGCATTGGTCCACCAGAGACCTTCCAGCCCCACGTAATATCAAACGGCAAAAGCTCTCACAGAGATCTCCATCTCAACGCTAAGACCCATCTCCACTCAACCACCAGCAAGCTACAGTGCTGGACAACCTATGCCAAACAACTAGCAAAACAGGAACACAACCCCACCCATTAGCAGAGAAGCTGCCTAAAATCATAAGTTCACAGACACCCCAAAAAACACCACCAGACATGGTCCTGCCCACTAGAAAGACAAGATCCAGCCTCATCCACCAGAACACAGGCACCAGTCCCCTCCACCAGGAAGCCTACACAACCCACTGAACCAACCTTAGTCACTGGGGGCAGACAACAAAAACAACGGGAAATACAAACCTGCAGCCTGCGAAAAGGAGACCCCAAACACAGTAAGTTAAGCAAAATGAGAAGACAGAGAAATACACAGCAGATGAAGGAGCAAGGCAAAACCCCACCACACCAAACAAATGAAGAGGAAATAAGCAGTCTACTTGAAAAAGAATTCAGAGTAATGATAGTAAAGATGATCCAAAATCATCAGTGGAACAGTATAAAAAGCCCAGAGATAAACCCACACACATATGGTCACCTTATCTTTGATAAAGGGGGCAAGAATATACAATGGAGAAAAGACAGCCTCTTCAATAAGTGGTGCTGGGAAAACTGGACAGCTACATGTAAAAGAATGACATTAGAACACTCCCTAACACCAGACACAAAAATAAACTCAAAATGGATTAAAGACCTAAATGTAAGGCCAGACACTATAAAACTCTTAGAGGAAAACATAGGCAGAACACTCTATGACATAAATCACAGCAAGATCCTTCTTGACCCACCTCCTAGAGAAATGGAAATAGAAACAAAAATAAACAAATGGGACCTAATGAAATGTAAAAGCTTTTGCACAGGAAAGGAAACTATAAACAAGACGAAAATACAACCCTCAGAATGGGAGAAAGTATTTGCAAACGAAGCAACTGACAAAGGATTAATCTCCAAAATATACAAGCAGCTCATGCAGCTCAATATCAAAAAAACAACCCAATCCAAAAATGGGCAGAAGACCTAAACAGACATTTCTCCAAAGAAGATATACAGATTGCCAACAAACACATGAAAGGATGCTCAACATCACTAATCATTAGAGAAATGCAAATCAAAACTACAGTGAGGTATCACCTGGCACCAGTCAGAATGGGCATCATCAGAAAATCTACAAACAATAAATGCTGGAGAGGGTGTGGTGAAAAGGGAACCCTCTTGCCCTGTTGGTGGGAATGTAAATTGATACAGCCACTATGGAGAACAGTATGGAGGTTCCTTAAAAAACTAAAAATAGAACTACCATACCACCCAGCAATCCCACTACTGGGCATATACACTGAGAAAACCATATGTCAAAAAGAGTCATGTACCACAATGTTCATTGCAGCACTATTTACAATAGCCAGGACATGGAAGCAACGTAAGTGTCCACTGACAGATGAATGGATCAAGAAGATGTAGCACATATATACAATGGAATATTACTCAGCCATAAAAGGCAACGAAATTGAGTTATTTGCAGCGAGGTGGATGGACCTAGACACTGTCATTCAGAGTGAAGTCAGAAAGAGAAAACAAATACCATATGCTAACACATATATATGCAATCTAAAAAAAAAATAATGGTTCTGAAGAACCTAGGGGCAGAACAGGAATAAAGAGGCAGACATAGAGAATGGACTTGAGGACACAGGGAGGGGGAAGGGTAAGCTGGGATGAAGTGAGGGAGTGGCATTGACATATATACACTACCAAATATAAAACAGATAGCTAGTGGGAAGCAGCTGCATAGCACAGGGAGATTAGCTCAGTGCTTTGTGTCCCCCTAGAGGGGTGGGATAGGGAGGGTGGGAGGGAGACGCAAGAGGGAGGGGATACGGAGATATATGTATACCTATAGCTGAATCACTTTGTTATACAGCAGAAACTAACACCATTGTAAAGCAATTATACTCCAATAAAGATGTTTAAAAAAATAAAGTCATTCACAATTATGACTTTATAGTTGGGATAAATCAATAGCACCT